TCGTGGGCAAACTGCTACCAAGCAGCATCCGTGCTGCAGAGAGATCGTTGGTGAGAGGAGGAGTCTGTTCGTGGGGCGAGCTCCACCTCTGTCCAGGTCTCAGAGCCGGCCCCAGCCGCCCGCCCGCCCCAGCCCTCAGCAACCGCCGCCACCGTCGGGGCAAGGCCCTCCACCAGCTCAAGGCTCAGAGGACGGTGAGCATTTCTGAGCAAGAAAGTACTTTTTTACTCAAAGTGTGTACATTTTTAGGCATAATGCTGTTGCACACTTAAGAGACTACCATTTGCTGTAATCATAGCTTCTACAAGCACCAGGAAACCAAAAAATTCAAGTGGCCCCCTTTATCGCCATAGTCACTCCATTTCAGTGGTGTGGACCTGAACCCCCCCACACCCCTGAGGTCTGCCTGAACAGGCATCTCCTTCTTAATGTTTGTCCAATAGACTGGACGAAGGTAAAATGTGCAAATAGAAAAGCCGTCTGTTCACCATTAAGAGAGGCACCGTATTTTTAGGACTTTAAGACGCACCAGACCATAGGACACACCTAGGTTTAAGAGGAGGAAAATAAGAAAAAAAATTTTTGAAGCAAAATATTTAATAACCTGTGACCTCGCTCTGCCGCCGCCCCCACCACACACAGCAAGCCAGGTAAGCTACATTTGGACTATAAGACGCACCCCTCTTTGCTCCCAAATTTGGGGGAACGGTGTGTCTTATAGTCCAAAAAATACGGCAAATCCTACTGGAACTCCGGTCAAACCCACAGCTCTTCACAGAGTATAACAGGTCTTCATCACGGCAACCAACAGGGCACAGTCTGTATACAGGCATTTCCCATTTTCCGCATGAACTCCTTCCAAAAATGAGAACCGGCCTTCGCTCACCTTGAGGACGCACGCACGCTTCCTTGGCATTCCGATGAAAACAGTGCCAGTATCCCGGACGACCGTAAGCCCCTCCTCCCACCAGGGCGCCGCCCGTGGCAGACCCGTGTGGAGCCCGGAGAGCCACGCACTGAGAGGCCTCGGGAGATGAAGCGGCTCTGCTGTACAAGCAGGCGCCTGTCTGTGCCGGGGCCCACACCCACGCCGTCCGGCCGCTTTAGGGGGGGGTTTACAATCACGCCGTCAGGGAAACCTGCTCTGCGGGGATGCTGTGCCGCCCACAGGGGACAGGAGGCCCACCTGCCCCCTCCACGGTGCTGTGCTTGGTGGCCCTTCTCCGTGCCCTGTTGGAGCAACGGCCCCTTCCAGCTGGGAAAACGTAAAAGCCGCCCACGATGCCGATGGTTTATGTGCCCTCTGAAAAGCAAGGCAGGGACATACCATTTGCTGGGTGCCTGCCCGCCCCCAGCAGGGGCTGTGCCCATGACAGGTGGTCTTGCAGGGTCTCCAACAACCTGCCTGCCCAGTGTCACATGTGAGGAAAGTGGCACCCATGTAGGTTAAATCTCGGGCCCGCTGGCCCATGGCTTGTAAGTAGGAAGGACGGAATCAAAACCTAGGCCCACAGAGCCCTGGCCCGGTGGCTCAGTTGGTTGGAGCACAGGCCTGTACACCAAAAGGTTGTGGGATCGATTCCTGGTCAGGGCACATACCCAGGTTGCGGGTTCGATCCCTGGTTGGGACATGTAAGGAAAGGCAACCAATCGATGTCTCCTCCCTGACATCGATGTTTTTCGCCCTCTCTTTCTCTTTCTCGTTCGAATCAATAAACGTAGCCTCCTGTGAGGATTAACAAAAAAATCTAGGCCCACTTAACTCCCAAAACGTGTCATCTGACACTTCCTGGGCCCACTTGGGAGGTGTGGAATGAGAAACAGCCATCGTCATCCTATACACTGAACTTTCCTTCAAAAAGAGCCAGAAGATGACCCAAACCTCCGATTGCTCCAGAAGGCGTTCACCGGAAGGAGCTCAGTGCAGAGTTGACAGGCAGGCCCTCTCTCTGGTGACAGCGCAGAGTGAGGCCTGCCCCAGGACTGTCTGGAAGCCCAGAGCACTGGTGGCCTGACCCTGGGTGAACCCGCCAGCTCGGGGCGTGTTTGCACGGTGGCCTCTAGGGGGCGCAGGCAGCGCGCGGTTCCCTTCCCTGCGGTCTGTCCAGGTCTGGTTGCTCCCGCGAAAAAGAGAAAACCTCCACTTGTCAGGGCTGCTGGCGTTAGAAACCATTCCTCGCCAGCCTTTCCCAGTTCCCCAGCTCTCTTCCCGGAAGCCGCGGCCTGGGCGAGGTGTCAGGGGAAGGCCTAGAATTGAAGCTGAACAATGACCCGTGGAAAAATCAGAGAACCCCGCCCTCTCGTGGGGGTTATTCTCTGTCCGAGGCCTTTGCTTCTCCTAAAATGACGTTGTGAGGCCGCAGAAGCGGCAAAGTCCTCAAAAGTTCATCAAATTAACGTTCGGTTTTTAGGAGACGCAGTGTTCTTCACAAAGTACTCGTGACACTGAACGCCTAATGGGCACTAAATAAACAGGTAAACGGTAAACTGTGGGGACATGAGCAATCAGGTTAGACCCACAGACCTGGCTTTCCCACGGGGGAATGCCACGTGGACTTCACCTCCTGCAGGCTCTGGTGACAATAAGACGCGGTGCTCCCCACCTCCACCCCCTCATGCACACCTTCCCCGGGGCCTGGAGCCTGTGCTAACCTGAGCCCCTCTTCCTCACACACACGGCCCCGGCGAACACCACTCGGACCCGGGGCAGAGACCCGAGGGGTTCTGGGCCTAGGAAGCCGGAGGCGGTAGGAGCTGGATTTCTGCATTCTCTACATGGTTCAAACGCTCCGGAGAGTCAGGCCGCGGCTGAAGGAGGAAGGAGAAACGGCAGTAACCAGGCGTAGGCTGCACCAGGACATTCGGAACAACTGGGGGGCCTTTGGAAGGCACGCGCCCCGGCCGTGGTGCTGGGACTTAAGGGGGAGACAGGCAGGGTGAGTCTGCGAAGCTTCCGGGTCCTTGGGCACACCCTGCTCAGCGCACAACAGTGAAACCCGGGGGGAACAGGGGACGAGGTAGCATGTGCGCCCACCTGCCATGTGCCCCCACCTGCCTTCCCCGGGCTAACCCTGGAACACGGGCTCCGCCAACACGCAGGGGGGTGAGAGCCGGGCCGGGGCCGCCCACGCAGCTCAGTCATCGACACACACCTAGCACGGGAAACGCCCACCTGGCCCATCAGCCACAAAACCGTTGGCTAAAATGTAAAATAACAGATTCAACTAGGAGACCACATGGAACATTGTAGTTAAAATATAGGATATGGTGGAATAAAGATGATATGATAAATACACCTGCAAAGGAGGTTGCAGAGCTGAAGGCAATGTTCGAAAAGTATTCTTACTCCTGGCTGGCATAGCTCAGTGGATTGAGCGCAGGCTGCAAACCAGGCATCGCAGGTTCGATTCCCAGTCAGGGCACATGCCTGGGTTGCAGGCCATGACCCCCAGCAACCCCACATTGATGTTTCTCTCTCTTTGTCCTTCCCTTCCCTCTCTAAAAAATAAAATAAAATAAAATCTTTTAAAAAATGTATTCTTACTAAAAAAGACATGCTGTGATGGCCGCTATAAAAACAGTAACTCAGATTACTGTTTTTTTTTAAGTGTAACAGACATTTTTGGAGAGTTTCAGAAACATAGCCACTCTGATCCACCGCTGGTTAAAATGGAAAATACTCAAAGCAATTTATGAATATTGAAAGCCCTAAAAATATATATATGGGAGAAACAACGGTTCCACAAATTTACTCTGACATCATGATCATAGACAAGCATAAATGTCCGGCGAGGATGCTGTTTACAGACCTCACGGCAGTTCCAAAGCACCGAAAGGCTCGGAAAAGGAGCTGGGTTAGATAAACTGTAGTACATCCAAATCATGAAAAACTCCTCAGTAATAAAAAACAGTACATTTGCCCTGGCTGGTGTGGCTCAGGGGACTGAGTGCCAGTCTGCGAACCAAAGAGTCATCAGTTCCATTCCCAGTCAGGGCACAGGCCAGGGTTGCAGGCCAAGTCCCCAGTTGGGGGCATGGGAGAGGCAACCACACATTGATGTTTCTCTCCCTCTCTTTCTTCCCCTCTTCCCCTCTCTAAAAGTAAATAAATAAAATCTTTAAAAAAAACAGTATACGTTAAGTGATGTGGAAACATTTTCAAAGACATTTCCCATGAATGACAAGTTTTCCCAAATAACACATAAAGTGTGGTATCAATGTGTATAAACATTAATATCTGTGTATGTGTTCAAGGAAATAGTATGTGCAATCATAAAATATTGCCTAGTGATTTAGAATCACCAAAAACCAAATCCCATTTTTCGTCACAGGATGGTGGTTAAAATGGAAACCCAGCTTCACGTCTGCAGAACTGGAGCTTAATCAGCCCGAGATCCTGCAGAAATATGGTGGCAGTGAAAAAGGCAAGAACGAAACAGAGTTATGCTCAGGGCGAGCTGTGTTCCGGCTTGCAAACTGAAAAAAAAAAAAGAAAATCTTGGAGACATCGTAGCATTTGTAGCAGCACAAAACTCTTAGGAAAATGTCTGCTGCATATATCTCGTCGTGGCTGAATGTCAGGAGACTCTCAATTCGAATTTGATACGCAATCAATGTGCACAAGTAACCCAGTTTCTAACCCGGGGACCGGAGCCACCATCTACTTCATTCCGAACAGAACCCAAGCATCCCGCCCGCCCGGGCAGCAGACTGAATCAAGCCGAGATGCCTCCGGGCAAACTGCTCTTGGTTACACTTCATCAGGGCTGAGTAAACAAACGCCGCATTAGTCACACTTGTGCAAGTTATTCCACTTCCCTGCGGCCAGGAGAGGTGATCATGTGACCCCGTGTAAACCAGCTAAACATCTGGAAGACGTGAAAGCGATTCTGCCAGGCGCAAGCAGACCCCACGCCCGGCGGAGCCATCGGTTAGGCGGCCGGGGTCAGCCCCAGGGTCGGCCCCCCACACTGGGAGGTCGCCGGGCGCGGTTTACTTACGATGAAGCCGAGTTTCTTATAGTCCCGGGTGTACATGGACTTGCGCTTCTCCATGCTGCCGCTGCTGGCGTTCGGCTCAGACTCGGCGTCGAAAGCAATTCTTCGAAGTTCAAATATGATGTCCCGCTGGGCCTGCGGGCGTTGGGGAGGAGGAGGAGAGGGGAGTTACTTTCATTGGGAGGCATTACACAGACTCCCTGTTTCCCGGGAGGGACACAAATCACTGTGTTCAGGAGGGGGAAAAAAAAACAGTTAAAAGACATCTGATGCGGTGAGTCTGGGCTCTGCCAGGCCTTCTCCTGGTCGGCCCTGGCCTTACCCCATCAGTGTCCTCAGGGCCAAGTCCTCTGAAACACTTCTGTCAGTTGTCCAGAGCTCTTCAAGGAGCCCCACATATGATGACAGGCTTGGGAGTGGAGAAAGCCAAGTTCAAGAACCTGGGGCTAACAACGGCTATAAACACAGTGAGAGGCGCCGTGTTTATGGACAGCACTCAGCCAATGGGGGGTCCCTAAGTCCACGAAGAAACGCCTTCCCAGAAACAAACCCTGGCACACGGTTAAAGTGGCACAGCCCACGTACATTTTACCATAATAAAAAAGACACTTTAAATAAACACAAGGAAGGGCTTCCAAACGGAGAGAGCCGCTCCCACTAGGCTGCACGGCCTCCCTTCACGAGGGGCGGTAAGATGATAGTCTCCGCTCTCTGGGATGACCGCACTTGGCCTTCCCAGGAGCCCGGGGCACGTGAGGCAGCCTCTCCCGGCCTCCCCGTCACTCTCAGCCGCAGGGCCCCGCGCCACGCAGGAAGCGCCAGAGCGCTTACACACTTCACATGTGCGGCGCACATCTGCGACCCATCAGGCCCTCGCGTGCCAGCAAGGAGGGTCTTCCTTTCCAAAGCTGCAGCGCCGCTGAAGCTGACCATGTGCAGCAGCAGGCCGCCCAGCTGTTTCCTCTCACCCTGTCCTCGCCGCTCCGGCCCCCCCAGGCCTTTTGGACGGAGGCAGAACCCTCTGTGCACACACAGCGGCCCAGAGCAAACGACAGCGAACAGCCAAGCAACACCAACGCGAGCCCAGAAACCAGGTGTGACCTGCAGCCCCCGCCTTTGGACGGACCCCTGGAGACAGAAATCACCTCCTCGACCTGCAGAACCGGATCACCCGGAGCTACCAGTTGGCCCCAGTCGTTGAGGGCACTGGGCCGAAGACCAAGGTCAATGGCCACGGGCGGTCAAGCTTTCTTACCCAATACAGAGAGAATACATGTGTTTGATGTGTAATGAAATAATCTGCTCATCTTGTTTTCTGACCCCATATGCACCTAAATGCTCAATCTGAGATGATAATAAATCAGTAATATCATCACCTAGCTTCGCCTGGTTTCAGAGGAGCCCAAGAAAAGGCTTTGAATGACGCGTTCTCACCTGCCTGTGCCTTCACTGCCGTCTCGTGGGCACTCACCTGGTCCTGCGGGTCCATCTTGGTCATCATCCTGTCCTCCAGGAGGTTGAAGGTGAGCACCTGGAGCACGTACAGCTGATGTGCCATCTCGTTGTTGATGGCCCGCTGAGCTCGGATGACGTGCTGGGGAGACGGTTCACAGACAGAAATTAAAAAAAAAAAGAAAAGCAAACAAAAGTTAACCCCCATCGTGACGCCAGGTAGCATCTCTGAAGTCTTCGCTGGGAGGCCCGGGGAGGCGGGTTGGGGGGGCCGCGCTTCAGAAGAAAGGCAAGGACACGTGGGGACCCTGGAGCCCCTTTATATCCAAGACCCCAGTCAGGTGGCTACATCTCTAGGCCAGAAACCAGAAAAAGACCTACTGGGTGCATGGAGGCGTTTCAAAGGAGGACACGGGAAGTGCCCGGGTGACTTCGGCCCCGAGAACCCAGAGCAGGTGTGCCTGGGACGAGAGGACCTTGGCCGAAACCGTGGACCGCTGAGGCAGACGCAGCCGTGCACGCAGTACAGGGCGTGCACACGCACACGGTGAGCGTGTCTGCCGTCATCTCGCCCCACAGCCGTCTCTGGCAGGGGACCCCACTCCCAAAGGGGGACACGTTTCACAGGCAACACACCCAGGCAAAGCTCCTCTTAGATGTGTGGCCCGCTCACTGTGCGGACTACAGGGAGGCCACCCGCTGCCTCCCCAGCGCGGTGAGTGCGTGCGTGGGAGGTACTTCACTCGCTGTTCATGCCCACGTGAACAGAAAAGGGCTCACTGTGAAAGGCACGGCAGGAGACTAGCTCGGTGGGCCTCTGTCCGCCTCCCCCAGAGCTGGGTCCACCTCACACCCTCTCTGGCGGGACCCCGCTCGTGCCTTCGGCGTGACTGGTCAAGGCGGGGAAACCACCGGTCAAGTCGGCTAGTTTGAATGGGCCAGAGCCAACCATGTCCTGCTGTCTGAAAGAACTTTCTCTAGGCGCCCCCACCCTGGCATGCCCTTGAACTCCCCACCCTGGGTGGGAGCACCACATCAGAACAGCCTATTCAAGAAGGCGGGGAGAGAAGAACAGAGACCAGAAGGAAGTCACAGAACCAAAGTGACGGAGGCTGAGGGGGTGGGAAACCAAGCAATGGGATGGGGCGGGGGGAGAAAACTCATGTCCTTCCACCTCCAGAACAGATGGTTCATGCACAGCACACACTCAGTACCAGAGTTGACAGGCGTTGACATCTAAGTCTTTAACCCATTGAGTTCCTTCTGTACGCGGTGTGGGAAGGCAGCCTCGGGGGGGCATGGATGGCTACAGAGGGCACTGCGCGGAGTGAAGTAAGTCCGAGAAAGACAAACACTACGTGATCTCACTTACACGTGGGACCTAAAACACAGAACCAACTAACGAATGAAAGAGAAACACTCGCAGAAACAGAGAACAGACCGATGGTTGCTAGAAGGGAGGGGGACTGGAAGGATGGGTGGAAAAGGGGAAGGGAGAAAAGTACAGAATGGCAGGTACGGAAGAGTCATGGGGACGTTTAATGTACAGCATGTGGAATACAATCAATAATTTTGTAACAACTGTGTACAGTGCCAGGTGGGCATTGGAAATATCGGGGGATCACTTTGTCACAGATAGGACTGTCCAACCGCTATGCTGTACACCTGACACCAATACAAAATAATATTGAACATGGCCAATACTTTTTAAAAAAGACAAAGCCCTGGCTGGTGTAGCTCAGTGGATTGAGCGCGGGCTGCGAACCAAAGTGTGGCAGGTTCGATTCCCAGTCAGGGCATATGCCTGGGTTGCAGGCCACGGCCCCCAGCAACCACACGTTGATGTTTCTCTCTCTCTCTCTCTTTCTCCCTCCCTTCCCTCTCTAAAAATAAATAAATAAAATCTTTAAAAAAGACAAATTATGTAGGTACAAATGTACATGGATATCTATTTTAGTAGCAACTCAAAAGTGTCTGCATTCCAAGCTCTTGCCAGAGAATGCCAACCTCGAACTTTTGGCCTCAAAGCCTCACCCCACGTCTCCAGTCCTTCCTCCCCCACCCGCCGCCCCCTGCACAAACCCCTTCACTACGCCCCCATATTACAGCTCCCACTTGTATTGAGAGCCAGCATAAAAAAATACTAGGAAACCTTCTGCAATTTCTACCAAACCATTCTGGGACCTAGAATCTATTCCAATGCTCTACCCAAACCCCGTTTGGATTCCAGGGGGAAAATGTGGCACCCCCCCCCCAAGAACCGGGGTACCTCCTTGGTCAAATGTAGAAAATTACACTCCTCTGGGTGCCCTTTGTCCTGAACAGCCAGAACGTTTACAATGAAAGCTGATGACGAATTGTGATTACCACTATGGGCTTCGGGTTCTAGCACATTTGTTTTGTTTGCCCTCACAGGGTTTTTCGTTTTTAACGGCCTCACTGTATCGGGATGCGTGTGCGTGCGCACACACACACTTGCAAAACTCCGACGTGGAATCAACCACACGTGCCTCTCTCCGCCTTTAGCTGAAAGTCAAAAAGCAGACAGGGTCCCAGGAATTGTTGGTACTTCATTTATTTTCAAGGGTTCACAACCTCTTTCCCACCGAGGCTTCTGGTCATGTTTGCATTGCCGTGGTGAGTGGTTTCCGTGGACGCCTGTTCTGTCCTTCCCATGTACGGGGCCCAGGGGACGGTGGTGAGATGTCAGGACTCCTCCCAGGGTCTGATACGTTTCCAGCTAGCTCCCTCACTAAACACAGTATAAGCTCGAACTAGTAGATGTTTTAAGTCATGGAGCCCCCGATTTCCTTAAATGGACATTTTAGCAAGGCTAAGGCCACGGTCAGGACACTAAACCTGCCCCACGGAGAGATGCCCAGCCCTTCCCGCCAGGAAGTCTTTCCCTCTAGAGCAGTGAGTGGCAGAGACCCCTCCTTCCACGCAGAGGGGCGGTTCCTGTGCGAAAGGCTGGCTTATCCCAGTCCCAAAATCACACTGTTTCCTGCCCCCCAGTTCCCACTGCTCCACCCCAGAGGCAGGGCCCAGAACAAACCACGAACTGAAGCCCCGGGAGGAGAGAAAGACACAAACGCCCCAGACCGCCGCTGCCCAGCGAGCGGCCACAGCGTGTGGGTACTCACCGTGAGAATGATGGACCGCAGCTGCTTCTGAGCCAGAATATTCGCCATCTCCTGCCGAAGAGAAACCCCCCCAACAAGAGCTGAGGTCAGAAAGGTGCATCTCAACACCGTCCGAAATGACGGGGTCCCAGGTGCACTTCACACCTGCATACCAGCAGTATTTCTTATGAAGGAATGGACTCAGACAGGCAGTAGGGTTGACATTACTATTTGAAAGCTGTGTTTAGAAAACAAAGCCATGCTCAAAAGCCAAAAAAAAAAAATATCTGGCACCTGTGATCTTTCCTTTCCTACCTTCCTTTCTTCCTTTCTTTTCCTTCCTTCCCCCCTCCCTGCCCCCCTCCCCCTGGCATTTCTTCCTTCCAGGAAGAGGTGAACGCAGACTGAAAACCAAGCACTGCCAACGAAAGTGCCGGTCCTTACTTCCGCTGGACTAGACCTGCGCACAGAGCTTCCCCTGGGCGATGCGTGCCTGCACCACGAGAAGCGGCAGTAGGGAAACATCACTCTCAAGACCGAAATCTTTTAAGTGTCCTCTCAATCAGTGCAGAACCGAAGAGCACTCAGGACAGAGCCCAGGACTCGGAAGTAGTCTGTGCAAATGAACTGAGTGGCTGGAGTTCCAGCAAAGCACAGACATCTGGGCAGACACTCAGCTCCGGGGGCAGCCCCCACTTCTGTGGGTCATGCCTGGAGCTTTGGCACAGAGATTTGGGGGTGACTTTATCACATGAAACAATGTGCAGATGAACTTTCTAAGTATTGACGAGTGGACACTAAGGGGAAATTAAATGGTTGAATACCATCTTCTTGCAAACATTCAAAAATAAAAAATACTGCTCATATTCAGGAAGACACTGGAGTGTGGTTTATGGGGGGCAGGGGGTTGCATTTTTAGCATTGCTCCTCTTACTGAGCAGAGCAGAAACTAAACTATGATTCGAAAACACCACCACGCATTTGATTCAAGGTTAAAATCCACTTGCAGAAAGCAAGGGGGAGCCGGAAGGCGGGGAGGACGCACTCGGGGGGGGGGGGCGTGCAGGCAGGGAAGGCAGGGCCAGGAGGAGAGCTCGGGGCTGGCGCAGCGCCGATGGTGGGAATGTGGGGACTTACAGTCAGAGGACAATCAAGGATGTCAACACTGCTGTCTACACCAACCTAACAGCGCCACCGCCACCACAGAAAGGAAAGCCAGCAGGAAAGAGAAGGGATGGAAATTCGGAGGATCTGTTAGAGGTTACTACGGCTGTACTCAGCGCCCCTGCCGACCCACCGCAATGCGGAGAACAGTGCACAAACAACTGTAAGGTGTTCTGAAAACGCTGGATGGCATGGAAGTCAACATCTAATACTAAGTCCTCTTCCAATGTCTTGAAAACAAGGACACATTCAGAAACAGGTTAATGGCAAAATCCACAGGAACCTGCCCTTCCACATGTGTAGAAAACAGGGCTTTCTTCCCGATCAAAATTAAAAGGTGCATTTTTTTCCCCTTAGACCACATGAAAAACTGAAGCCCCAAAGGGTTCTCTAGTTCTTTTAATGTCTGTCCTTTGTAAAAACAGAATCATTGCCACACACACAAACAACAATATTCCCTGTGCCTATGCGAGCTCATTGGCTTATGAAATTTTAAACTTAAGTCGGAAGAGACCATATTTTTCCAGCATCTAGAGCAACTGTGGCAATTTCCCGGTTCCATTCTTCCTCTTCTGTGTGAGACAATGGTCGTCGCCTCAAGGATGCAGACGGAGCCCCTTTCATCTTCAGTTCCCAGCCCGGCCCTCGGCGTCTGGCCCGGGGCGGGTGATGCATGTTTCATAAAAGAATGCATGAGTATTTTCCACCAGCCTCCTTTAGCAACCTGAGCTGGGTCCGGGAGGAAAAACATCCTCGTCCTCCTCAAGCACTTCTCGGTCCAGCTTCAGGGAACTGTTTGCACCAGCAGTTCCAGGGAGAGTGTTTTATACTGTCACGATGATATCAAGGTGTACAGATAGATATAAATATGGATATGGATACATTTTTATTTGAAATACTAATGATTTCTTTAAGTATAAAATACTAATGATATTTTTATTTTAAATGCAAGTGATTTATTTAAATACTAATGGTTTATTTAAGTAAATTCTCTCAACTGACCAATTTAAAACAAACAGCTTGCAGAAATTATAGTCAAGCAAAAAACAGTTCTGTTTTCTATTCTGTAAACCACTTTTATGGATACAAAGACTACAGAATTGCCCTGGCTGGCGTAGCTCAGTGGATTGAGTGCGGGCTGCGAACCAAAGCATCACAGGTTTGATTCCCAGTCAGGGCACATGCCTGGGTTGCAGGCCACCGCCCCCAGCAACCACACATTGATGTTTCTCTCTCTCTATCTCCCTCCCTAAAAATAAATAAATAAAACATTTAAAAAAGAAGACTATAGAATTTACTATCTGGTTAATAAAAGATAAGAATTATGGAACTTAATAACAATACATATTGATTTTTTTTTAAAAAAACTTGTTTTCAAAGTTCTGTCGAACTAAAGTTGACTTAAACCTGGATATAGATATATTGACGTGGAAAGATGTCCACACAATCCCGCGTGGTGTTAAAAGCAGTTTAGATCAGCAAACCAGTGCACGCGGTGCGCTCGCGTCCGGTGCACGAGCGTCTGCGCGGGCACGAGCGTCTGCGCGGGCACGCGGGAGGACTGGGACCTCCGACGTCAAGTGGAGGTGGGGGGGCGGGGCAGCGGGTCTCCCGCTGGAGATGCGATCACAGGGGTCTTTAAAACTTCTCACTTTGGAATCTGTAATTTCTGACTTCTCTACCAAATCGTGTAACCAAAACTTTTTAAAAAAATTATGCTGATCAAACCCAGGACCATCTGTAGAGAAATTTGGAACAGATTTCGCCACCACGTTTGCCATGGAAATAGTAAGATGAATGGTAGCAAGTGGCTTAAGAAAAATGATCCTTATTGTTACTTTTATTGCTAAGACTAAATTAGTCCTATAATACTCGAGATTTTCTGCTGGATTATATGCACTTGCTTAGTTCAACTGTTTTCTTAAGTGGTTTAATGTTATTAGACTGCGCTTTGTGATATATTAGTATGGTGTATTATTATTATTATTATTATTATTATTATTATTATTATTATTATTATTATTATTGCAATATATGGCCAAATTGTGTCATCTCATTCCCCTATTGCCCAACTTTCAAAAAAAAACGTGATTCACAAAATCCAAAGCTAATGCTCCACTGGTATTCCACTCTACTTGCACTGGAGTCAGCATATGCTGGCATCTGATTTTCCGTTTTCTCCACGGTCACACGATCCCGGTCCAGCCAAGGAACAGCGGTTTCGATGTGACCCGAGCACACAAAGTGCATGCGTCTCACTCGTGTAGAGACCCAGAGACCCAAGTGGAACCACAGCCCTTTGGGGGCATGAGGTCTCACTGCCTCTGGTCCAGCCCCCTCTCCGACAGGCGGAGGGGCCACCCCCGGGGTCCGGCCAGAGCTCCACCTCCCGAGCCCTCGTCCCCCCAGGCGTCTGAGCGCGGGCTGTCGGACCAGGCACCCTGGCCTGCCCAGCAGGAGGCTCAAGCTCCTCCAGTGACCACGCCAGGCTGGAGCCTGGGCACTGGCTGGGCTGCTAGGAATGACTGGGAGCTCAGCCTTTACATATAAATGCAAAGAAGGGGCACCTCCCCACCCCGGCAAGTGACCTGCAGAAGCACCCCATTCAAACCCAGCCTAAGGCCTGGGCAGGCCCCTCCAGGCTCCAGCTAACACCAAGCTAAACCAACAGGAAACTCCCCAGTCACTCCGCTCCTTGTGCAAAGGGCCCCTGGACTGAGCAAACGATCCGGACTAGAGAACAAACCAGAAACCCTTGTACTGAATCACTGAGGTTTAAAAGCCTCGACAGTGGAAAAAATAAAATTGAAAAAATAAAATACTCGACGCAGTGTTCCGCTGATGCTGGCTTTCCGCATCCCTCCAGAACCCCGAGCGGGCAACCGTCCTCGAGTGCCCCAGCCCCCACCCTGATCCCGGAGAAACCCCACGTTTCCACCCGGTGTTCACATGACGTGAACCGTGGCCAAGCTAACACAGAGTGCCGCACTGCTGTGAACACCCGTGAGTGGATTTTCAGATATGAACTAAATGTCAAGACAAAGATTCCACTTCTTCCCCACCCGCCGCTATGATGATTCTTTCCTTCGCTGAAGAAACACCGAAGCTCTCCAGGCAGAGGAGAGTCTCCGAGCACGGGGTCCACGAGGCAGGGCGCGCTCGGAGTAGGCGGTGCACCGCTCGGTCCTCCCGGCCACGCCCACACACGGCTGCAGACGCATCGCCCAGCAAAGAGCCCCTCGGACACGAGACCAGTCATTTCAACCGGGGCAGCAATCTTCGAGTCCAGTCCCACAGGTCCCTGGGCAACGCCCCTCCCGCCCCAACACACACGGTCTCAGCGTCCTCAACAGGAAAGTGGGACGACACCCTCCTCGCCCCAGGGAGCATTCAGTGGAATGACAAGATCACCGGGGCTCCGACCTCTGCTTTCTCCGGAGCCTGCAGAGGGGCCACTGTGTCCATGGGAGGGAAAGGGCTCTATCGCTGGAACATTCTAGCATTCTTCCTCACACGGGGGCCTGCCCATCTGTCTGCACCCAGTGCCCGCCAAATGTGCGACTGACCCCAGGCCGGCCGGCCAAGCAGCAGAGCGGCAGGGAGGCCCCGCGCGTCCGGGCAGGGGCAGGGGAGGGCTCTCTCCGCGCCAGGAGCTGCGGTTCCTGGGCACGGTCTGGCGGCGGAAGACACGTGACTCACCTGCCTCCTGTCGTCAGGGGCCTTCAGGAAGAGCGCGTTGATCACCGCGATGGTGTAGGTTTGGATTTCTTGGTCCGTGCTGTAAGACGCAGAACGGTAAGGAAAGTCAGACGCTGCCCCTGCATCAGACCCGGGTAAAGCTCATGATCGCCGCCCCCCAAAACAGGGGAGAGAGGAAGGCAGGACCTAGAAAATGCAGTTGGCACTGAGGATGTTCTTCAACCACCACAAAGGTGGGAACATGGTGTGTGTGCGGGGGGGGTGGGGGGTGAGAGTGGGGGGGGCGGGGGGTACTGTTTATTGCCAGCCAGAGCACACATGGCCAGGTGGGAACCATGGAGGAAGTTCAGGTGACTGCTGGCTTCCTCTGCATTCTTCTCTGGGAAGGTGAACGGCATAGACTCAGAGGGAGAAACGTGTGTGTGGGATGTTCTGCCTGATGCACGAAGCATATCTGGGAGTAGACCCGGGGGTCCCTAAGGCCTGAGCTTATTACAAAGGAAAACAGCCTTGTCTCCATGGCGATGATATTACATATCCTAAAAATCTATTTCCAAACAGCAACTTTTTTAGGGACCAGAAGATCAGGTTTCTGTGTTTATACATCGTGCTCTTCACCAGAATGAAATCAGAAATTCCACACGAGGCAGTAATGCAAGCCACATGGTAAAGAATAAATCAAGAGAACCGGGCATAAACACAGGGCAGCTAGGAGCTACGGTCAGACACGATGTCGGGAGAGGCGGAGCTGAGCACACGGCCTCTGGCGGGAGGAAATTCGGGGTCCAGTGTGCCAGTGGGCAGCTGTGCAACCTTGACAAGTTCATGGGGAGTCCCTGGGACACAGTTTCCTTGTCTGTAACACTGGGCAAGAACACACTTATTTCAAGAGGCTGCTCTTTGGATAAAACGAGGTGATGTACACAAAATCCTGAGCGCAGTGCCTGGCACACAAGAAACCCTCCGCTTGGGCGGATGACACCGTGGCTGCACAGGTCTGCCCCCGAGACAAGAAAACGACAGGCTGCAAAGAGAACTGGTGTGGCATTCAGGGGCCTGAGAACCGGCTGCTGTCCGTCGGTGGGCAGGTTTCACACGGAACCCTCATTCCAGAGCACGCGCTCGTTTTCCCCGGGGCCACAATCTTCAGCTCGTGTGACGTAAAACGTTACATTCTGGTCACCCTCCTCCCTCCAAGCGCAGAAAACATCAAACACATTTTGGTGCTTTACACTGTAACACGACAGAGAACGTCTCGGTATACTGAGAACGGCTGAATCTCTACCCTGCATCCCGCCCTACACGGGCATCAGGTCTCCTCTCGGGCATGTGCAGTCGTGACCGGAGAGGCCGGGGGCGGGACGGCAGCTACCGGGAGCTGCCCCGCCACATCCGTGCCAGGAGAAACGCCACAGTCTGTGTCCGGCCCGAGGCTCGGCTTCTGAAGTCATTCTCGGGTTCCAAAGGCACCCGGCATCCTCTCAACAAACGGCCTGTTCTGAGTGAGCTCAGGATGGTTGCCGTCACCTTGAACCCAAGTACGGAAATTCACAAAGTGGCATCTGCACAGCGGGGCCCATCTCTGTCCGTGTCATCGGAGACGACCTTACTCGTTGCCTACGGGGGAACTAGGGTCAAGGGGGAAAGCCCCAGCGATAGCAGGCTGCTAGGGCCATGGCCTGCAGCTCGAGCCTCTAGAAAAAACATACAATGAAATATAAAAGAAGGTCTCTGCAGTCACCCGGAGCCTGGAGAGAGAAGCCTGACTCTCAACATTCTTAACTGCCCCTGGAAATACTCATGCCGCCACAGAAGACGGTATTGTAAATGACGGAGCAGAGACTCCCTTGAGAACTGAAGAGAACAAACGGGCCTGTTCTGTCGTGTGAAAAGTGAAATTCTATGGATATCTGTCCATCCATCAAAACCGGGTGCCTGCTCAGGGCCAGGCACTGGGGATGGAGCAGGGCCAAGGGCAGGCATGGAGCTCACCCAGGGGTGAGTCACATGTGACAGGGGTGAGTGCATGCATGGTTGATGAGACACCAAATCCGGATTCCTTTTCCATGTACTTAAATCGATGAGCCATGCTCCCCGGGCACCCTGGCGGCTGCGGCACCTCCCCTCTGCACAGCACAGCGGGGCCACCTCCGCGGGCTTACCCTTGCAGGTGCGGAATGAGCTGGCCGATGGTGATCTCCTGCGCCACCTTCTGGTAGAGGTCGTGGCTGTTGAGCACCATGGACTCCAGAATGGCCAGGGACCGCTGCAGAATGGAGGTGTCCATGCCGGACTTGTTCACGAAGCTCGCTATCTGGAAAGCCAAGCGGGACACGGGTGACTGCTCGGGGGAAGCGGAGCGGAGGAGGGCAGAAGGGAACCAGTCGAGGGAACCAGGGGCTCCTTTAAGAAACACTGGACACGGGGGTCGGAAGGGCCCTGGGGGGGCAGCCGCCCAGCAAGGAACCCCCGGAGAGCCCACCGCGACTCTTCGTGACTACGGAGCACTATTTATATCCGATTTCTGTAATTCAACACTAAGCAGCTTTTAAAAGGGGCAACGTCAAAGAATTATTCTGTCTGGTTTTCCCGGGACTGTTCTGAGGTTCAGCTTCCAGGAGCAGACGAGTTTAACACAGACAGCGTCCCTGCACGTCCACGGGACACTGGGTCCAGGACCCCCTCGGATAAAACCCACGGATGCGCGAGTCCTTCACACAAAATGAAGGGAACGGTATGTGCGTGTAACGCTTATTCGCAGACCGGCTACCGCAGGGGACGCGGGCACTTCTTCACCTGAGAGCGTCCCGTGCAGTGCTTGGGGCCTGGCAAACTCCAGCTTCGCCTTTCGGAACTTTCTGGGATTTACGTTTTCTCCCCCAGAGTGTTTCCTCTCCGCAGTTGGGTGAATCCCCGGGTGTGAAACCGCCCCTAAGAACGGCGGGCCAGGTAGCGTAAGGGCCCGCGTCTGTCCGCAACGGCAATTCCAACACACCCTGAGCCCCCCGTTTCTTTCCATCCCCAGGCCCCTCCCCCACCCGTGGCGGCCGTGACTTCTGTGTTATGACGATCCTGTTACATTCTTCGGGGGCTCCCACAAATCATGCTTGTCAGCACAGCTCAGCTGGCAACCCCTCAGTCGCTGGCTCCTCCCTGTGGGATTCCTCGGTGGGACGCCCTTTGCCCCGTCCTTTCGTTTTGTGAAAATAAACTCTTCTCATCTCTCCAAAGTTTAGCCAACAGGAAAACCTCCCAATGTGCGGTGCGAAAAGTTAAAATAACAGTGTAAGCGCGAACATATATCCCCCGAGGAATTCCTCGCCAAGGCCTCCAACATCATAAATCACAGTGTGAGGGAGAAGCAAAGTAAGGGTTGGAATAATGGAGCGCAGGCACCCAAACACAGGGGTACCATCCAGGTTTGACTGTCGAGGCCTCGCGAGAAGTTATTACTGTCTGTTGACAACTCACGCGAAAAGGCTGTTACCATATCAACATAAGGACTGCTTTCCTAAAAGCTAGACAGACCATTTGGTCCCACGACGAATCGACACTGGCTGCTTCCCTCTGTCCACACTCATTTCTCCCCTTGACGCCATCCCATCCACTGCTTCTCCCCATCCTCTCTCCACCCCTGTACAAGGCAATAGCCAAAAGGTGTCCATGGCAACTCGCTGTTACCATGTCAACTGTTTCTAGCCCAAGGACTCTCTGGTGAAAGCAGGGGCAAGGGCACAGACACCCCCAGATACATCTGGATCTCAGAGGGTGGAGGGGTGAATGATGTAGAGCAGAGTAACATTATGATTTTATATTCCAAACACTATTACTTTGTAATACGACCTACGGGAAGAGTATGAGAATTTTAAGGTTCTCTAAAGAATTCCGCTGGCCCATCATCCGATCGCTTCAGCCCATTTCACGGCTAATAAACTTCTCCGAAGTGTTTATTGCCTCCGGGAAGCCCTGGCCTTTATCCTCCGAACCTGCTCCATTGTTTTCCAGGCCCATTTTTCTCTGACAAAAATCCAATTCCTCTCAAACTACGCTCACGGCTTAGCACTTAACTTTGACCTCTTCTGAACGGGGTATAAATGTCTTCTTCCCTTCCCTTCCCGCCACCCCAAACATTTCTCGTCATCTCAGCGCCATTGCTGGGCGCCAGCCAGAGACCTGCAGAACCCCCAAAGAACTTCTTTGACCATGCATCTGATTTTAATCTGTACTAATACTATCCTCTTCCCAGCATCCTTTGAGGGCCTCCATTTAAATAAATTTGCATGTATCTGTAAGGCTCCTTGGGGCATTTTCCACCTGAGAGTTTACTGTCCAGCCCCTCCCACCCGCCAGCCTGCACCCTCTCTCCATTCCTTCAAGCCACGCGCCTTCTCTGCGCACCACAGAACAGGCTGGGGCCGTCTGAGGTCAGAGAACAGAGAGATGAGCAATGCCCAGTTTTAGCCTTAAGGACCTTGTCGTCCAGCAGAAAGAGATGGAGAAAAAAGCACTTACTACGAGGTATGTTAAGTGCTTATGCTTTTTCTTGGCATCAGAAAGACTATTTCCACTCAGATATCCCAACAGAGGCTGAATACATGGGGTGGAAACCCCACTCCTTGTCTTCCTCAGCCTCCTGTCTCAAGGATCACCGCTCCCCAGTTCGCCTGTCATCAGTGATTACCAGTCCCGGCCCCACGCTGGGCCCATCTCCCCCGGGACGCGTCCGGTTTGCATGCACAGCCCTGGCCGGGGGCCGCCTCATTCCCGCTCTGCGGAGACAGAACCTTCCCCAGCGCCCTCCCACGCAACTTTCCCTCTGACACAAATTCGCCCTCGACTCCCATAAACATTCTTTGGACCACGTTCTGGAGCTACTCAATCAGAACCCCGAATGTTCTTTTATATAAAGTAACGCCTTCTTACAGTGGGCTTTATTTCAGGTCAATACCAAGTATCAACTCTCGCCCGCTTCCGACGGGCTTGCTCAAGGGTGGCGCAACGGCCGTGGGCCTCACTCGCTCTGATCCAGGCCTCCTCACAGCCCTTCCCCCTTCCCATTTCTGGAGCTAACGGAAACGAACCACTTATCCTCGTCAGACCTCTTTGAAAAGAATCTTTTCTTTGACCTCTTCCTTGACCCAGGGAAGCCCCCATCTCCGCAACCCTCCTGCAGGTTACAAAACGAGTCTTCCGTGGCTCTCACGTGGCTGGTACGGCTGGCGGAGAGCTGGCTGGCAACCCATTAGGGTCCCACGTACAATTCTCTCGGAGACACTAGCAATTTTTTGAAACTGACTTCTATCTTTCGCTTTTCCTCATCAGTGGTTTTAGCCAGACATTGAAAGGACCCCGTATTTTCTTCTAACAGGCACTGATACCCAAGGCTTTGGGGCCTACTGAGCAAACAAGACAACTGTGGTCAGAGCGTGTGCGAATGCCATTCAATGTCTACTTTAAAGGGTAAAGCCTGTCCAGTTACATTTTAATTTCCCTTGGCACTCCCTCGCCCCCCAAATCAACAATGACTTCTTCTGCCTTTACATTTTCTGAAGTCCCACTGCTGCCCTGTAGGCGGGCAGACACGGCAAAGTCTAAGCCGGCCCAAGCGCAGCTTCTTGGAAGGAGCCCTATCGCCTAAGGGAGCAGAGGGCAGAGGGCTGGCAAGAATTACATACGCTGCCCCCACGGGCTTCCATTCCTTCCCAAGTGTCACCCAAACAAACCTGAGGGCTCTCCGGGTGAGAGAGGTCCTCGCAGGGCATGCATCCACCACACACACGATTACAACCACGTAAGGCCCTTCTTCGAATCACTTAGAACGAGGTCTTAAATTCTCCCGCGTCATCAAAGCCAGAGCGAGCCACGGACAGCCCGGAGCTCCGCTCCCGGGAGTTACTACAGTGTCCGGGCAGAGGCCGTAAATCTCGCAGGATCTTCAGAGGCAACAGGTACTGGGTCTCCAGACCGCAACGGCTGGAGGCGCGTCCAGCCCTGGGAACACTGCGGGGTGCACCAGGCCCCCCGCAGAGCCGAGATTTCCAGGGCGTTTGTTCGTAGGACACCTCCCTGCCAGGGAAAGGCCCCGATGTTGTCCTTGGCGAGGAGAAACCCAACGCGTCACGCAGAACAGTTCTGGGTTGTTTTTTTTTTTCAGTTTGGTTTTTTTCTCCTCCTTTCTTTTTTTTTTCCCCTGCCTTCCTGCCCTCTCCCTAAGTAGCCAAGTCTTTAAAAGGCAGCCACGTTATATATCGGCCTCAAGGGATTCCAAGGGTCAAAGGGCTTGTGAAACGCTGTTATTTATTGCAAACACAGTTTGTCACTAGAACCCAAGTCCACACGTCACCAAACGGACAAAGTGGCAGAGAAGGAGACAGAGGCTGGTCGGAGTGCTATGAATTTGGCTTTAACAGGAAGTCTGTAGCGCAGAGATAAGCATCTTTTGTCCGTAGATTTTGGCCCAGATAGAGCTCCATTTAGAAGACAGCCGTCTGCACACAATGCCGGGTTGTCAGAGCGCTGAGTCTGATCCAGCCAGTGAGTGAAAAAAATTAACCTTACAATAACTGTCGATTATAAAGTCATGTTCAGCTGACCACCTTTCAAATTCACATAAGGCTTGAGATCTAATTGGCAAAAAAAAAGGAAGTAGAACGGGAATGAGGACATGGAATTGGTTAAATGCGTTGCCTACTGAAGAAATATTTCATTTTTTATGAAAACTATCGAGGTTGTTAGTCTCCGCTCCTTCAGATGTCTTATAACTTTTCATTTAATTTCAGTGAATGGAAGACATTTTCTTAAGCAGTTGGGAAATTAAATTATTGTCATTCTTTCTCATCACTTCTCACATCATTTGAAAAAGAGAGTGTGGTCATTTCTTTCCACTTAGAACCGAAATTTTACTTGAAACATACTCCGATACGATGCCTCTGTATTCCTCCTCTCCTTCAAGTTCTAGGGTTAAAAAAAAGCGTCTGAAGCAGATGTCACTCATTCGTTTCACAGACATTCATGAAGGTCGGTGCCAGGCTCCGAGGACAGCGCCACTGAGAAAGCGCAGCTCCACCTTCCTAGGACTCACGGTCCAGTGGGAGCGCCACGCCAGTGCGTCGCAAAGTCACGGGAGTGTGACAAGTGCTGGAGCAGGGGCGGTCAAGGTCACGATGGGACCAGAGGAGAATGCAGAGCCAGAGGAACCACTTAACCGCACACCAGGGAGGTCGGAGAGGCTGAACAGGAGGCAGGGCTGGTGGAGCTCGTCTTCAGAGGCTGTTCTCTCCACCACTGGAACTCCAGGATGCGTACGGGAGCCTGGGGGGCGGAGCCCGAGCCAGGGGACCGAGGACAGCCCACTCGCTGCACCTCCGGGCCCCTGCGTCCTGGCCTCCTGACCAGAAACAACGAGGACTCCTGCTGGGACCAAGAGGAATAACTCGGTGTCTGAGCACACGAGCTAGCTCCCAGGAATGTGCCTTCGGAAGAGCACTGTTGTTACAGCAAAAAAAGGCTCTAGTAACACAGAGCAAGGCAAACGGAATGTAGGAAAGGCAGCCTGCCATAAATTCAGAGTAAGTTACAGTTTTTGTTGAGTATCAAAACCCCACAAAACCCAGCATCTTCAGGCTGAACGCGCTGCTCCAGAGCCTGCACCTGGGAAAGACCGCCAACGGCGATGTGCCCCCCGCTTCCGCACCCCGAGGCTCCCCTTTCCTGCTGTCCCCAGGAGAACCCCTCACCACCCTTCAGATCCCCCTGGCTTTCTCCTCTCCCATCCCCTGCTTTTCTTTTCAGCAATTTTGACAGAGAGGGAAAAGGGGGCGTCCTCCTTTTAGGGGTGTTTTCTAAGTGGGTCCCACTGCTCATCCCCTGTGGCTTTACGCCCCTGGGGGAGGCAAGAGGCTCAGAGGCGAGTCAAGAGCACCCTGGGGTCCCGATCGGCTCTGGTCTGGAGTAAATATGCAGCATCGTGCGGGGGTCCGATCCTCGGGGGGCCTTTCCTGATTCCTGATACCCTCGTCCGACAGACTAGGGGCTCTGGTGCGTCCTTCAAGTCAAGGCAGTGTCTCCCTCGAGATACGAACTTCGAAAGGAACAGGAGTAACTTTGCAGCAGGGAGGAGACTCAGCAGATGCCACCTCAGCCACACGGTCAAGGTCAACATCACGGTTAATGAAGACATATGGCCAGCAGGGGCCCCACTGCGATGCACGGAGCACGGGGCACAGCATTACTTCTCTGGCATCCTTGCCAAAAATGCGTAACCTTAACTCAGCCGTGAGGGGAGTATCGAAGGAACCAGGTGGAGGGACATTCCGCAGTATAAGTGCTCAGTACCGTTAAGAATGTCAAAGTCACAACAGATAAGGAAACCTTGAGGAGCCGTCAGACTGCAAGACGCTGAGGAGACACGACAACGGAGGGCAGTGCAGGTGCTGGCTGGGTCCTCGACCAGGGAAAGGACCTTAGGAGAGAAGCCGATGAACTCAGACAACGGCGACAGCGTCGCACCCCTGTTACTTCCTCGTCTGTGACAACGGTTGTGCCATCGTCACACAAAATGTTAGCGCCGGGGAAGCTGGGTGGCAGGCACATGGGAACATTCTGCCTTATCTTCTGCGACTTTTCTGTACATGTGCCATGATTTCAAAAATAAAACGTTTACAGAATTCCAGTGACTTCCACGGAGTTTCACTTTGATTCTCCAGCTTTTGCACAGATTCTCTGAAATCCCTTATTTTAGAAAACCCTTCCCAGGAGCCTCCACTCAGAGAGTACATGTACGCACTCCCGACATCTCCTCGTGCCCAACACAACAGAAGGGAGAAACATGCCATCCCATTTACAAACCACTTCCCAAACACAAAGAGAGGAAAAACAAGCTAACGAATCCATAGTCATGACCCATCACTCCATAGTCCTGAAGCCGGGGCTGTTTGTTTTCGGTTAGAAGTCGGGAAGCAGAGCTCGAAGTGCGCAGGTCTGCCGTCAGGACGGCTCAGCTGCAGGGGTGGGGGGGGGCATCCCGCCCTCTCCCCACGCGCGGCCCCCGTACGGGCTGCTGCTGCGGAGGGAGGAGCCGGTGGCCCTGACTGACCGCAGAGACGCTCCCTGTGCCCTCCCGCCGAGGGAGCCATCTGGGCCTGCCTGAGGGGCACGGACTCCTCCTCTCACCGCCTCGCGCCCAACCCGGCCCTGCAGGAGACACGCGCACTTGGCCTCCTTCCCTTTCCCGAACCCGGGCCGAGGGCAGAGGATGCGGGAGGAGCGTCGGACACTGAACGTGGGTCGTGAGAACAGCAGAGCCCTCGCTGGGGGGCGCGGCACACACTCGTGTGGCCTTGGCAACGTGGCGTCTCGGTTTCTCTGGACTGTGGACTCTGTGCAATCCCTCAAGATCTCGGTGGGGAGAAAATATCATTTTCACATATCATGTAGGCGCCCTGACCCCTATACATATAACACTATCAAAAGCCCACCCACCACTCAGCAAAGCACTAAAGCAAGCAACTGAGACAGCCCCAAAACAGAGAATAATGTCCACGGATGGAGGAAGCGAGTTAAGCCCCGGGAGCCACCACGCGCATTACCTTCTTAATGAACGCCACCGAAAACGTGTCCCAGGACACAATGCCGTGGTCCATCAGCTCCACGAAGGCCGTCAGGGTGAAGGACAGCATGTCTCCAAAGCTGGAAAACACAGGGAGGCATGACGGTCACGGGCCAGGAGCCGAGACCAAGGAAAGACCTGGAAGGGACAAAGTCCCTTTACCGTCCCTGGGAACCAACGGGGAAGATGAGGAGTAACGCTCCTGAGAGTGTCAGCACTTTGCAAAGGGTCTGCGTGGCATCTGTGTGCCCGGGTGTGTGTGCCTGTGCGTCTCAGCAAGTGCACACGCACACGAGCTCACGGATGCAAACACATATGCAAGGAAGCACATTCCTTCCTCCGTCACGCCAGCCGCGTTCTGCCTTTACACAGTATCTACGGAAACGACGACAGTCGGCAGGCAGTGGAGTCGCTGCGGTTCAGAGACCTGTAGGAAGGGTCTCGTGTGTGCATCGGACACCCAACCAGAGATGCAGCAAGCTCAGGGGACGGCCGTTTTGTCCCTTAGCAGGCAACACCCTGATTTCTGCTGCCTTCAGACCAACATTTCAATGGACACCGCATCTTCTACAGAGACTCACCTCTTTTGTAGACTTTCATCATAAAAAATATTAACTTGAAACTCTCCAGAGCTGTATGTACTCTGTGAGTTCACTGCTTTTGCTCATCAGCACGTCTACACTGCACACAACCGCAATGGTGCGTAGGCTTGGTTTTTAAAAAATGAAGTTGCCTGCTCACGTTTTACAGATATGAATCTGTAGACTCATACATGCCACAATTGCTACACTACAAGGTCTCATAAAATGTCTGTATGGGCTGTTCCCATCAATTTTCAATTAACAGAACAGAAAGCAGGCTCGTGTTTCTCTTAAGACAGCTGCACAATTTTCCTTCTTCCTCGTGTTCTCAGCCTGGCCTCAGTAATGACCTTGGAAAGCCTGCCTCACCCAGAAGCCGTGGTGCTGGAAAGAAACCTACGGGAGAGGAGGCGGCTGTCGGGGAAGGGCCCTGATCCAAAGATGCAGGAGCTGGAGGGGCTGAGACGCGAGGGACAGAAAAGGGTAAGTGTGTGATTCCTGGAATCAGTGGACAGTCCCCTCCAGCTCTCCATGGGAAGTTTCTGATGCAGTCCCTGCTGTGGTTTCTCATTTATTAAAAAAGGGGACTGCGATGCAGGTGGTGGTGGCAATGACACCTAACCCTGAGGATTGTCCAGGAGGTAAAACAAGCTACGGTGCTGAAAGCCCTCCACGCAGCAGGCAGCAGGTCCAGAGCAGCCTGTGAACGTGAGCTGTAATGCAAATGTGATGTTTTAACAAGGTAACCAGAGCCTGTGATTTTTAAATGTTTGCCTTCTTTGTGTCAAGATTATCTGTCTCTGGAGCCAGAAAAATAAAATTGGCAGGAAAGCCACAGCATTCAGGCCGCACGGAGAAGCCGAAAATGCTTTTCTAAAAAGGCCTTTTTCTGAGTCACAGAGGGGCGAACCCAATCTCACAGGCGCCCCTAGGTGGCATCAGAGGATCACGCCCCAGTAAAGAAATTCCAGACAAGAAAATAAACTCACTTGAAGGAGAGAAAAAGAGAAAGACAGGAGAAAACTGGGTTGAAAACAGTAGCAAGAAAAAGTAAACAAAGTTCCCGAAAGACTCTTTCTCCAGACAATGAGTCAAGGAAATCCAAACATTACACAGAAAGAAAGCCAGATAGTAAAGTATTGGGAAGATTTATTAATAGATTTTGCAGACATTAGTATAATTAGTATAAAATAACGTGTAATGTTGTAACAGGGTGCAGCCAAGAGGGGGACCCAAATAGGGATTTGGAATGGGGTCCAGAACTCAGGGGGTTCAGGAAATACTAGGATGTCCTCACACCCCCCCCCACCCCCAGGTGTGGGTTGGGGGAAGGGACTCATGGAGGAGGACCATTGAGAGTTGTTCTGCATAGCAACAGCTTTGCAGCTAACCTCTGATGTGGTCATTTACCACATCTATAACCTTTAACTGGTTGCATAGATATGTTAAATGGCTGTGGCCATGCTCTGAGCCAGGGGGATGCAAGTAACTTCCCCCTCAAGACATAACTGGAGGCAGGTCCCCTGAATTACAGCGCAGCACCTGCGTGGGAGCTTGGAGAAGATAGGCTCCATGACATGGGGCCACACCTGCCCAGACTCAGGATGGAAGCCCAGTAAAGCTGGAAGGATATGAGAGTGCTGGCAGGTGTAGCCAGTTGTGGGAGGAGTCGGAAATGGGGCTGCAGAGGAAGACTGGCGCGGGGATTTAAACCCAGACGTGGCAGCCATTGAGAGGAGAACCACGCAGCTGTGGCAGTGCAGAGAAAGGACCACAGCCATTGCGCAGGGCGAGAACCACTCAGTCTTTAGCAGAGTGAGGACTCCCGCAGCCCTGTGAGAGAGGATCACCATGCGGCTTTAATAGAGAACCACCACTCAGCTTTGGCAGAGTGGTGACCACCCTCCTTGCAGCCATTGAGGAGGGAGAACCATGCGGTTTTGGCAGAGTGGGGACTCCTGCAGCCATTGTGCAGAGAGGACCACGTGGCTTTGCCAGAGTGGGGACCCCTGCAGCTTTAGAAGGGGGAACCACCCCCCGGCTTTAGCAGAGATCCCAGCGACACAGGTGATGGTGCCGGGAACCGAGGGAGGCCTACCAGCCGAGATGAAGTACTAACTGAGAAGAACTGGGGGCTGCCTGAGCCATGGACTTCTATTTCTTTTCCTGGGATACGGTACCCCAGACTGGGCAAAAGGGGGAAGGAAAGACTGTGTGTTGGAGGGTGTTTTAAGGGACTTTGGGATTTTGATGAAGACACTAGGTCACTACTTTAAGTCTGTACAGCATTAAATAAACATTTCCTTTCCTTTTCACGAATCTCTGGCATTGAGAGACGTCTTTCCTCGGGCGGCAGACATAATGGACCTGGGGGCTTCTTTCAATAATAGTATATCATCCCAGGCCCCCCCTTGTTTGTTCTGTAACAGTTTCTGAACACTGTTTTGGAACAGTGGAGCTGTGGATAATGGTTGGTTAGGGTGCTGCCCCCAGGTGGCCCCTGTGTGCTCACTCACAGTTTCGGGGAGCCCAGGTGGCACTAAGGGAACCTGTCCTCAGGTTTGGGGAGGAAGCAAACCGCTAGGCTCTGTAAGCTGAGCCTGCATGTATGGTGGGGATCGGACAGCAGGCCATGTGGGTGCACTGCCATTTTGGGTAAAATGGGGGATGAGCCACGTGAGTGCCCACCATGGAGGATGGAGTGTGCATGGGCATCACCATCTTGGGCAACCCAGCGTGAGTGGGTGGCGTCATCTTGGATGACCCAGCATGCATGGGCGCTGCCATCTTGGAACGGAACAAGGTGGTGGGTTAAGGGTTCTGAAGGTCATGAACTGAAGTCCAAGGGTGACCATCTGATTTATAGGGTGTTTGCAAGGTCTAAGCTTCAGAAAGCTGTAGGATGTCCCTGCAAATCTAGGGACTTTTAGTGGAAGGTACCTATAGTGCTGGGGACTTTTGGCTGCCACATGCTGAGTTTAAGTACAGTCCTTCCCAATGTGGGAAAGGAACCAGGATTGAAAGAGAATGATGGCTAAATCTGGATGAGCAGAAATATGCATAAAGGATGTGAAAGTTTTAAACCTGGAGTAAAGGAAAGCTCAACTACTTGTTTTCTGGTTTCGTGGCAAATTTCTCATAGTGGTTCTGTTTCTGATCAGAAATCTGTATCTGAAGACCTGTTTAAGGTTGCTGTAAGACCTAGGAAAGGTCACCGTAACCAGTTGGGGAGCATGCCTTTGCCACTTGGGACCCAGGAAGGGTCATTTGGGGCTGACGAGTGTTTTTCAGCCAGAGGCAAAGGAGGCATGTCTCTGCCAAGACACCGGGCCTGAAGGAGCACGTCTCTGCGAGGCACCAATGGACGCACTGGTGCAAGAGAATGCCTCTACCTGTGTATTGTTCTGGAACTCTGTTTTGGATTTTGCTCTGTATCTGCTCTGAAAAGGAAATTGAGGATTCCAGGGAAGGTTAAAACTTCACACTCTGTAGGAAAGCTTTGAGAAGCCTGGTGGATATCAGAAGGAAAAGAATTTTCCTTCAGGCTTTGTATTTTTCCCCCTACTTGATCCCTCCAGAATTTGGCATTCTGAAGGAGTGAGTGATGACATAAGGTTTCTTTACATAAAACCAATAAGACCAGTTGCTAATAGTGGTTTTGTTAACCAAGACTTTGACTAGAATGTCACGCCTGAAGGAGGCATGTATGGGTTCTGGTCATCACCAGAAAGCCCTGAGGAACTGGGATTGATTTGTGAAGCTAGCGAAAGCCCATGAGAAAAGCCTGGTACTTTGGTTGGTTGTGCGGTTCATGGCAGTCTTTCCAGGGAAGGAACGAAGGTTGCTTTCCTGAAAGATGGCCAAAAAGGAACCTGTAGGCACAATGGAAGCCTCAAGGATCTGAGTGAAACAACTGGTACAGGCGAAGCCAGATGGCAGGTGTGTGGCTCTGCTTCTGTGCCCCGAGGGGCAGACCGAGAAGTCAATCTAAAGATTCCCTGTGTGAGTTCCAGCAAAGTGGACTTAAAGATCGTAAGTGATCCAGGCTGCTCTTGGTGTGTTTATGCAAACGAACAGTCAAAATTAAAAGTGGGACTCAAAGTAGTCCCTTTAATAACAGTGAGGGTGATCTTGAGGAGAAAAATTGTGGTTCAAGGAAAATCACTGTGCTCAGTATTGGACATCAGAATGGTGCAGCTAACTGTCTTGAAAGTTTTTCATTTGAAAGTTGAAACTGGGTTTGTAATATCACCAAAGATGTACAGTCTACAGGTATGGAGGACCTGTCAAATTGCCATTGCTAAATGTTATTGCAGGAAGGACCTTGCAACTGAATATCTTCTCAAAACACAGTCTCACAGGCACAGAGACTGGTTTAGGGATTGTTGTGTGAATTAACCTGTGTGTTCTTCTGTTTTCATAGGATGTATGCCTATGACTTCATTACCTGGTTGGCTGCAATATAGGACTCACTTAAGGAGCCCATTTTTATCATCACC